TGGCCACTGCTGAGGGGACAGGAGCAATGACAGAGCTAGAACCGTCGGGGGAGGGGGTGCAGCAGATGTCACATCAATTACTACTCCTCGTGCTCAAAGAGGTCAGGAGAGCAGAGTGCTCTGAGCCATGGACTTGGAAGGCCAGGGCAGGCAGACAGATGTTCTAGAAACAGCCAGCAATCTGGGGGCCATCTGTGACTTAAACCTCTGGCCTCCCACAAACATTTGTTTCCCTGAGCCTCAGTTTCCTTTTTCATACACATTCCCAGACATGCAGGGTCTTGGTGAGAAAGAAACCATAAAAATGATGTGTGTCGTCCCCGGCCAGGGAGACCCATCTGTGGCACTACGGAACTAAATAAACTCCAGGGTGGCTGGGAAAACTGCAAGGCGGTTTTATGGGGACACTCACAGGCAAAGTGCATCTTGGGCAAGGACAAGAAAACTATTTACAGCCTGAGAGGCCCCACGGCCCCTTCCAGAAACCTGATTACTCTGTTTATGACGCCTCCGGCAGCTCAGGAGCAAGAGCCTCAGCTCAGTCAGATGGCAGCGGCTTAAGTGAAAGTGAACACCCATCTCCAGGGACCATGAGGTGAGACGGGAGGGGCTGGGTGTCAGGCCTGTTCCTAACACTGGGGACAGACACAAATTACCCCACCACCGGCTAACACAGCACACAACTGTCAGTTCAGTGTCCCCTCGCTTCCAAAAATAAACACGGCGACGAAAGACGAATACTCTAATAGAGTTGAGACAAATTTAAATGCAGCCAAGGCTGCTGCCGGGAGGGCTTGGTGGTGGTGGTAGATGGTTTGTGTGGTCATTTTAGATTTTGTGGCAGTTCAGATATGTTCTGAAGGCTCATTCCCAGATCCCCATGTCACTTTGGTTTCCTGCTTAAAATCAGGGAGCTTTATTTTTATTTTATTTTTTTAGAGATAGGGTCTAGCTCTGTCGCCCAGGCTTAAGTGCAGTGGGGTGATCTCAGCTCACTGCAACCTTGAACTCTTGGGCTCAAGGAATCCTGCTGCCTCAGCCTCCCGAGTAGCTAGGACTACAGGCACATGCTACCACACTTTGCTAAATTTTTGTGGTAAGAGGGTCTTGTTACATTGCCCAGGCTGGTCTCAAGCTTTTGGCCTCCAATGATCCACCTACCTCCACCTCCCAAAGCACTGGGATTACAGGCATGAACCATTGCACTGGGCCTAATTATTTTTTTTAGAGACAGGATCTTGCTCTGTTGCCGGTGCTAGAGTGCAGTGATGCAATCATAGCTTGCTGTAATCTTGAACTCAAAACAGGGAGCTTTAGAAGCAGCAACTGCTCTTTCCTTCACAAACGTTAATGATCTCACAGTGGCAGAGTGCTGGGTATTCCTGGTTTTACTCAACAAAATGTGTTTCTGGAAAGATTCATGGAGATGGAGTCAGACAGAGAAGGCGCTGGCATAGGACAGAATCCACTTGTGGAGGAAACCACAGCAAAACCCTCGTGGAATCTCTGTAGGGGCTGGAAGGTGGGTAACAGAAATTTTATCCTCCTCATTTTTTCTTTCTTTTCTGTTTGAAATTTCACATCAAGCATAAGTTTTATAAGAAGCAAGAGAAATGTGTTTGCACAAGGAACTCACTGGGCACTCACTGGAGCTTGGCAAGGTGTCCTTTGGCAACAGAGTAATCACCCCTTGATGTAGCTCTTTATTTTTGGAGGTCAGTATTTGTAGGCAAAAAACAAAATAACGATTTCTTTGAGGGACTCCCCTGTTACATACACAAATGAGCCTTGCAAAGTATTTTTCAATAGGGGAAATTAATCAGTTCTTTACTTCTCAACAATATTGACTTATTGTCTCAATATGTCAGTATTTTTGCATTTCAGGTTTTCCTAAAGAGAGATCCTCCTGCATTCAGTCCCATCTGCCGGAAATGGCAAGCACGGGCCCAGAATCTGACAGAAGCGTGTGAACGAGCATCAAGCCACTGGTAATGCAGGCACTGGCTGGGGCCGGCTCTGTCCTTGTCCCCCAGATGTGCCTGGGAAGGCATGTGTGACCAGTAAGACTTCACAGCACTTATAATGATAAAACCACTCCAGTGATGCCTCTCCCCTTCCTTGGGGTCTCTGGAAAACGTTTAGAGATTCTGTTTAGAGAAACATCCGAGTTCATCTTGGGAGATGCTGTCCAGGTGTGACTGGCCTCTTCATCTTGCTCCACGGTTGCCCAAGGCCAGAGACGTCCCTGCCACCCCCAAGGCGGCCTCAGAACCTCCTTGGCAGCTTGTAGGGTAGGAGTAGGGGAGGTGAGAGGGACTTACTGAAGAGAAAAATCACATCAAGAAGAGAGCCCTGAGATTCTCAGAGAGGGGCATTATGGCTTGGTGGTTACAAGTGAGGCTTGCAGAGCCAGGCTGCCTGGGTTCAAATCCCACAGCTCCACTTGCCACCGGATGACTTTACACAAGCTAAGTCTCTCCAGGCCTCAGCGAGGATAATGTTCATTCCTCGTGATGTTGACTTTGAGCATATTGTGCAGACAGCAGATGGGTGTGGATTTCATAGCTATGGATCTTGGCTTACACTGGAGGGTAAGCAAAGATGCCATCATTGATACTTTCAAATATTTTATAGAGTATATTAGCTGTGACTTAGAGTGAATAGTATCCACCCACAGGTTTGTCTGGAGGATTAAATGCGTTAATACAGTACTAAAATGCTGAGAACACAGCAAGCACTACATAAACACTAGCTATTATTATTATTATCCTACAATGTCCGGGGCTCTCCTGTTAGCTCCCAGTGCAGAAAACAGAATGTTTCTTGTGTTGCTTCTCAGGCTGAAACCAGATAAACTCCCCATCCCCAGGCATTTGGAGGGAGTTGAATTCAGAACTTCTGGGTATTAATACAAATTATCAAGAATGAGCAACACGAATCAGCAAACCATGTGTGCTGGCCCAGCACGTACGTAATTTAAAAGTGCTTTCATGGGAACCTTGAAACATCTCTAAGGGGCAGTGGCTATGAGCCCAGGTAACACTAGACAGATTCAAGCAAGAGAAACACTGTACCAAGCCTCGGCCAAATTCACAAGGCCAAAAGACAGCACTGGCCTTACCGGGATGGGTTTCCCACACTCTTCATCACTAACATGGGTTAAAGCACTCCTTACTCAAGAACGATGGCTCATAAATCATTGTCATATACTTTGCCTCATTTGGCCCTCACAAGGGTAGGACAACTCTGTGGTCTATCCCAAGGCCTGTCCCCCTGGTGCTGGCCACCAGAATAGAACACTGCATGATCGGAGGCATAATCACACTAATAAATTACACAAGCCAAGTGAAAACCCACTCATTTACCTTCCAAAATCATTAGCTGGGGCATTATTGTCCCCAGATAAAGAAACAGAGCCTCAGAGAAGTGACTTGCTTAAGGGCACACAGCTGGTGGCTCCAGAACTAGGACTTGAACTTAGGTCCCTCAACTCCAAGTCCACAAAAAAGGGTCTTTGGCTCACTGGGCAGCAGGAAGGTGAGGATGAAGTGTGGAACAGACCACGGAGTTGCTCTGCCCATGTCTGTCCTCCTGCCATCCAGCCCCTTTATAATGGGGCCCAGTTTGTGTCAGCTCTTCCTGTGCCCAGACCCCAGGACAGACTCAATGCACAAGCTCTGGCTCTGGTTCCCTTGACCCCCCCAATCCAGAGCCTGGGGTGAGGTCTTGGGGGGGGCGTTACAGGCACAGAGGTGGCTCCATGGCCCACAGTGCATGGAGACAGGCCCTGCACGGGGGAGTCCAGCACACCCCATCTGGACACAGGGTCACGTCATCAGGAGTCTGACCTCAAAGACAAAGGACACTGAAACTAGCCATGCCAGTCTCCTGGGACTAACCCAAAGCTGTCACTGCCGTGGAGGGATGGCTCTAAGTGGGGATAGTGCAGAGAGGAAAACCACAGAATTTTCTTTCACTAGAATGTGAGCGTTCAGACAGGTGCTCTCTCTTGAAGCACTTCTCCCACTCAACATCACAAATACAGACACGAGTAAATAGAACCTTTGGACGAGGCAGGCCTCCCGTCTTGTCATGAACCTCCTTGTCCCTCCTTTCACTCCCCAGGACCTCAACACTGCAGTTCACAGCTTGCTCATCCGACTGTGTCTGTACTCACATGTGGAGGCCTGCTCCCCTGAGCTTGTGCTGGCTCATTGCAGGGGAGAGAGGCTGTAGCTGCTCTCATTAGGAATGGAACCAGAAAAATGCAAGCACAGGCAAAAGTGCACAAACAGGTGCCTCCAATATGGTCCAGCCAAATGCATTTTGTCTTCTAATCAGTTTTGTCTCCCACCTCTTCCTCATGCCCAGGGAGAAGAGAATCTAGATTATGGGGTAGGGGAGCTCCACACAGTGGGAAAATAATACAAACCAAAGAGAGAGGAAGGGAGCTGTCATAGCCAGTGAAAAAGGGGAGATGAAGCTTTAGCAGTTCTAGGGGACTAAAGTGCAAATTATATATATATAGAGAGAGAGGGAGAACAAAACTAAAAACAAACAAAAATATTATATAGCACCAACCATTTCCCCAAGGGGCCAACAAATGCTACTGGTACATAGCCCTTACTTTCTAATACACTTTCTCTTTCAAGTTTCAAAATTACACTCTCATAGGAAACAGTTCATTTCAATATAACATCAAAAAATCTTCAAACAAACAAACAACATAAAAGCTCACACTTTTTTGTTCCTAAACCAGTGCTGAATGCTAGAAAGGTTAGGAATACCTCCGATTTTAAGAATTTATGTCAGCTTTTTTTATCTGTGTGTTTCAATACCAGCTGGACTGAATGAAACCACTCTCCACTGCTGTCTGGGGACATTTTTCTGAATGGCACATTTGTGTCCCCTCTCGAGGACACAACATGGCAGACATGGCAGGTGATACAAATGCTTTGAGGACAACAACGACCATGAATAACATGGTCTTCTGTACTCACATTTGTCCCCGTGGAAGCCAAAGGAAATGTGGGACTCGACTGGGCGAATGGCCTTGCTGGAATGGCTGCGTACGGCGTTCCGAGGTTTGAGGCATAATCTAGCGGATGAATCGGACAGACAGGTGAGTGGCCAGTTCCTGACTGCACCTTCAAGAGTCATCACTAGGACATCAGGGGGAAGGGACAGCTGACAACTTCCCCGCCATATTTATCAGTGGCCGGCGTGTTGGTAATCAGCAAAGCTTTATGTCTAAAACGTCTCAGGGAGTGCTGACGGGCCCAGACAGTGGGCCCGAGTGTGACGTCTTGGTACCTGTTTGCTTCACACGTGTGTGAGAAGGACACGGCGGGGAAGCCCCGGTTATTAAAGACAGGACACAACAGGCCTGTGGGAAGCCGATTTCCGCTTCTAGCTCTGACCGGGCGCTCACCTTCGTTGCCAGCGGGGCTGTAGGCAGCCGTGCTGTTGGGCGAGGCACACAGCGTCCCCTCCGCCGCGCCGAGCACGCCCCGCACGCCAGCGCTGGAGAGGGCGACAGAGGGAACCAGCTCCTTAGTAAGTGAAACGAAGAATTGCCACACGGCCCAGAAATGTCACTCCTAAGCACAGACCTCAAAACAGTGGCAAACAGGTGTTCCACCAAACACGGTTATGTGAATGTTCACAGCAGCACTATTCACGATGGTCAAAAGGTAGAAGTAATCCAAATGTCCACCCAAAGATGAATGGATAAGCAAAACGTGGTCTGTACATATAACGGAATATTATTCAGCCATGAAAAGGTTGTACATGTTATGACACAGAGGCACCTTTTTTACTTATGCCGTTAAAAAAAATAAAAAAAGTCAAGGCTGGGTGCAGTGGCTCACGCCTATAATCCTAGCACTCTGGGAGGCCAAGGTGGGTGGATCGTTTGAGCTCAGGAGTTTGAGACTAGCCTGACCAAGAGCGAGACCCTGTCTCTACTAAAATTAGAAAGAAATTAGCCAGACAACTAAAAATATATAGAAAAAATTAGCCGGGCATGGTGGCACATGCCTGTAGTCCCAGCTACTCGGGAGGCTGAGGCAGGAGGATCACTGGAGCCCAGGAGTTTGAGGTTGCTGTGAGCTAGGCTGACGCCACGGCACTCTAGCCCGGGCAACAGAGTGAGACTCTTGTCTCAAAAAAAAAAAAAAAAAAAAGCCAGTCACAAAAGGTCACTTGTTATATGATACCATTTACAGAAATGTCCAGAATAGGCAAATCCATAGAGACAAAAAGCAGACTGGTGGTTCCCAGGGGCTGGGGGAAGAGAGGAACAGCTTAATGGGTACAGGGTTTGCTTTCAAGGTAATGAAAACGTTCTGGAACTAGACAGTGGTAACATTTGCACAATATTATGAATGGCTAAATGCCACTGAATTGTACTCTTTAAAATGTTCAAAATGGTTGAGTCCTATGTGAATTTTACCACAGTTAAAAAAAGGCAGAAAAGGGAGGCCTTTTAAAAATTATTTTTAATTATGATAAAATACACTTAAAATTACCATCTTAGGCTGGGTGCGGTGGCTCACACCTGTAATCCTAGCACTCTGGGAGGCTGAGGCGGGTGAATTGCTCAAGGTCAGGAGCTCAAAACTAGCCTGAGCAAGAGCGAGACCCCGTCTCTACTATAAATAGAAGGAAATTAATTGGCCAACTATATATATATAAATTAGCCGGGCATGGTGGCACATGCCTGTAGTCCCAGCTAATCGGGAGATTGAGGCAGGAGGATCGCTTGAGCCCAGGAGTTTGAGGTTGCTGTGAGCTAAGCTGACACCACGGCACTCTAGCCCAGGCAACAAAAGTGAGACTCTGTCTCAAAAAAAAAAAAAAAAAATTACCATCTTAACCATTCTTAAGTGTACGGTTCAGTGGCATTGAGGACATTCATGTTGTTGTGCAACCATCACCACCATCCATCTCCAGAATTCTTTCCATCTTGCAAAACCAAAACTCTGTACCCATTAAAACCAACTCCCATTCCCCATCCCTCAGCCTCTGATAACCTCTCTTCTACTTTCTACCTCTGTGAATTTGCCTACTCTAGGTAGCTCATATAAGTGGAATCATACAGTACTCGTCTTGTGTGGCTGGCTTATCTTGCTTAGCATAATGTCCTCAAGTTCATCCATGTTGTAGCACGTGTCAGAATTTCTTTCCTTTTTAAGGCTGAGTAATATGCCATTGTGTGCATATACCACATTTTGCTTATCCATTCATCTGTGGATGGACGTTTGGGTTGCTTCCATGTTTCAGCTATTGTAAATAATAAAGGGATGCATTTTGAACACACCCATTTCAAAACACCTAACTCCAGTCATACATTCTACACCCTGAGCCAGGCACCCGCTTCTCCACCCCCAGTGTCTGCTCTCAGCACAGCAGGGAACAGGGGGCTGTTCCATGGAGCCTGAACACATCCCCCTTTTGCTGAACCCTTCACTGGCTCCAATCACACTCAAAGCAAAAGTGAAAGTCTTCACAGGAAGCCCAAGTGCTCAGGATCTGGGCCCTGGGGCTTCACTGGGTCCTCCTGCCCTGGTCATGCTCAATCTTGCATGAATGACAATGACCTGGGCATCCTAGGTCCACACCAGCTTTAGGACCTTCAAACTTGCTGTTCAACTGCTGTGATACATCTCTCCCAGACAGCCACAGGCTCATTCTGCCCCTCCTGAGGTGTCTGTCCCCAGTGAGGCCTCTCCCAACCACCCTATTTAAAATGTAAGGACAAGCCCCTCCCTCCCACACACACACTTTCTGCCTTGCCCCAGTGTTTGCTCCTTGGCACTTACCACCAGGAATGTTATTAATATCTAATTTACTTGTTCGTTTCTCTCATCTGTCTGGCCCCCATTAAGCATAAGCTCCTTGAGTAGAGACACTTTGCCTGTTTTGTTCTCTGTTGTCAGAACAGAGCATGACACACAGTAGGTGCTCAGTGAATATTTGTTGAGTGCATGCATGAGCCTGTTCTCCTGGACAGCACTTACTTTTCAGAGAAGACCAGGCATTTCTGAGTGTGCAGCTTCCCTTTCACATGCAGCTCCCAGTCCTAAGTCAGAAAGAAAGAAAAATGACCAAAGTAGAACTGACTCGTGGGAAGGTGAAGGATGAGCACAGAGCCTGGCCAGGCAGGGAGCACAGAGCGCTCAGAAGTTGGACCAACCTTGCGGCTGCATCTCCCTCTCCCTGCTCCTCCCCCTCCCATCCCCCCCCCAACTCCCGCCTGGCCATCCAGTCTCACTCCATCAGCCCCTCATCGGCACACCCAGTGACCATCATGAACAGGAGCCCAGACCCACATGTCGGATTCCCTCTCCCCTGTCTGTGGACTGTTGGACCCACCACCCCCTCCCCCTCCCTCGCCTCTCCCCTAGGGAGACCCCACCTCTTTCTATATCCAGCTGGGAGAATCTGGCAGGTGAACTCAATGATTTATACAACCTTAGAAAAGGCTTGGACGAAGCCCTTGGGCATCTCCCAGGGCCAGCCAGTGCCCCCCCACACAGGAGGTGAGAGAGTGTGTCCCACCTGAGTCACAGGGCTGCACTTGGACATGTGACCCAAGCAGAAGTGAATGGCAGGCTCTGGTGTGACTCCACTAAATAAGGGCCCTTGGAAGGGATGGGAGGCGCAGGCCCTGGCAGGGTCAGACCCACATTTGAATCTCCATTCTGCCACGTCCTAGCTAGGGGCCCCGGGGCAAGTCACTTCATCTCTCTAGGCCTCAGTTTTCTCATCCACAAAGTGAGAATAATAATAGTATCTACCACTATGAGTTACTGCTGGCACACAGAAAGGGTTTAAAATGTGCTGGTTATGATAATTATTACTGCTTCAGAATATTTCAGTGCATCAGCAATACATTTTTTTTGGAAGATGATACTATAAGGAACTTTTGTTTGCAGCAGCTCAAAGCATTTCGCAACCATGGGGAAGGTAGCAGGAGGCTCTACCTCCACCTTGTAGAGGCGGAAGCTGAGGTCCTCTGTAATAATGACTCCAGGTCCCAACTGATAATTACTCTCTTGCCCTTAATGCAAAATTCTGCTGCTTTTTCCTTTCAAACTTAGTACAGTCTACGTACTCAAGGGCAGTAGCTTCCGGGCACACCTCGGGGGAAATTCCCTCCAAGGAGACTTGGGATCCTGAGCCCCTTCTCTGCAACCCAGGTGGGGGCCTTTGCTCCCCCATCTGGTCTTAGCTCTCTCACCTATAGAAAGTGGGTAAGAATCTCTAACTTGCCTCAAAGCAAGGGACAGGTCCTGGTGCATTTCTGAAAGTCCTTTGGGTCCTAACACCTATGATCTTAATCAAGAAATACCGATTGCAAAATTCTGTTACCCAAACGTGCCAGCTCCTCACCATGAGCAGCGAGAGTTGGGTCGTGGGGGGAAGCCCCCCAGGCTCCTCACCGTGGCTCCCAGCCTGTCCTGGATGACTCACCTTCAAATCAAACACCTTCTTGTCGCAGATGCTACAGACGTGCGGCAGGTGGAGGGGGGCCACGCCGTGAAGGTCGTTCAGCTCCTGAACCTGCAGGGGCCGCACGGAGAGCATGGCCTGCTCCTCCTTGGCCCGCCGCCGGGCACTGCTGAAAGCCTGCTTGCTGTTGTTAAGCCGACCCCCAAAGGAAGGAGGGGTCCTGTCGGGGGTGGGTTCCTCAGGGTTGTACAGCTCGTAGGGCTGGCTGGGGGGTGGGGGCCACAGGTCGGGGCCTGCTGTGAGATCGGGCTTGCTTTGGCCGGAGAACCCGTGGGGGCTCTCCCACGGGCCGTCCGCGCCCTGCAGCAGCGGCCCCACTTCCCTTTTCGAGCCCCCCGCCTGCTCAGCTGGAAATCCGCCTGCCACACGCGACCCCTGGGAGTTGGGTCCGTAGAAGTCTTTGGAAAAGGCAGCTTGGCCATCTTGCCCTGGGTGACTGTAGTGCCCTTCGTAAGTCACACCGCCCGCAGTCGAGGCAGAGGCTGGCAGGAAGCTGGGCTGCCCGTCTGTTTCAGAGCCGTATGTCTGGCCGGAGCTGGCTTTGCCATACTCGTAGAATCCCGCGGGAGCTGGCGCGGGCCCTGTCTTGCCAAGGCCCAAGATGACTGCTGGCTGGCCAGGGGCCGGAGGCATTACCCCGCTGAAAGGATGCATCACCATGGCACTGGGGGGCTGGCTGGGAAGGCTCATGGAGGCTCCTGGGCCTCGTGTCTGGCTAGGGGGTGAAAAGGCAATTGCATTAGAGGGAAACCGGGTGCTGGGTATGGTTGCAGCATGTTGGGGTACCCCGGTGTGGCCATGGGGGTTACTGATCACAGACGGATGTCTCAGCTGGTTGAAGAGAGGCTGGGACATGGCCACTTTGGAGAGGACTTGGTTCAGGACAGTGGCGGCCGCAGTGTTGTTGGTGACAGCTGTCTGTGCCAACTTCAGCCGGTGGAGGGTGAGCTGGGCTTGCAGTTGAGCCAGCTGGAGACTGGCAGGTGAAGGAAGGAGAAGGTTCGGGTTACCAACCGAGAACGGGTTCTTGTCCAGGAGCTTGGCGGCACTGCAGGAAGACAGAGGTCTAGATGCACCGCTGGTTTTCAGTAGGGGGCTGGCGCGCAAGGGACTGTCTTTTAGCTATCTGTGGTGCCCCACCACCACATAAACAAGACCCTCCCACACAAGTCCCACAGACAAGTGAGTCTGCAAAACCCTGTGCTCACACACATACATTTAAAAAGAAAAAACTCTACTAGAAAAATTATATGACAGAATGTTCAATCTCACTGGTAATTAGAAACACAAACTAAACCCATTAGAAACAAATATTTGCCTAGAAAAATAGCAAATTTTTTAAAAATACCAGCACTTAGTGTTGGAGAGATAAAGTAGAATGGACACAATGTCAATAATAGTCTTAACTCACACAGCTTCATTAAAATGCATTCATTATATTCATAATCTTTGACCGAACAATTCAATCCTATGAATCTAACCTAACAAAATGAGCTAAAATATAGGGAAAACTTGATACCCAAAGATGTTTAATACTGCATTATGTAAGAGTCCACAGTTGAAGATTACAAATATCCAACAATGGGGGGCTAGGATTTGAAGTGAGTAAATTATACCATATCAACATAATGAAATATTAAGTAACCATCTACTATTGGTATTTAAATTTCTACTTTATAATGTAACATTTGAGACATGCAGAAAGTGTACACAGCACTAAGCTTGAGATAGACAACATTCCAGCACGCCAAATCCCGGTTGGCTACCTGCTCTCCCCCTCCCCTGGCCAGCTCCATCACTGCCTATGGTAAACACTATCTTGAATTTGGTAAAGTCACTGCTTACAAAAAACAAAAACAAACCCCTAAACAAAACACCGCTCTAATGACATGAGAAAAATCTATATGCTCTAATGTTCAGTGAAACAAGCAGACTTCAAAATTGCTTACACAGTGAATTGTGTATATATTTGTGCCAAACACATTTTCATCCCTGTCCTCATTTCATGTCCTAAAGCAATAAAAATTAGGTTCCTGTCTGAATAGAGAAATAAACAAACTCAGTTTCTCCCATTCTCTCGCAACATAGATCACTTCTCACACCAGATGTGTGGGGGTTTTTTCACCACACACCAAGCAAGCAATCAGCTCTGCAGTGGACCCCAGCTGGGCGTCCTCCAATTCAATTCCGACACTATCTACCTGGAGGTAGCATCAGATCCCACAGGTTGCAGGCTCCATCCCGAAGACTGTCCCCCACTTCAGATGCCAATCACAAACCCCACATCGTTTACCCTGTGCTTCTCATTGACCAGCTATAAATCTAGGTTAAACTATTAATAATTTGCTAGAGCCTCTCGCAGAACTCAGGGAAACAAACATTTGCTAGTTTATTATAAAGGATGTTACAAAGGATACCAATGAACACCAGATGCAAGAAATGCACAAGGCAAGGTGGGTGGGAAGGGGCGGGGCTTCCGTGCCCTCTCCAGGTGTTCCGCCCTCCATGTGCCCAGCTACCCAGAAGCTCTCTGAATCTAGTCCTTTTGGGATTTCTATGGAGGCATCATTATGTAGACATGATTGATTAAATCATTGGCCATCATTGGACAGGGGTCATCAGCCCCTGTCCTCTTCCCTGATATGGAGGAGTGGAGCTAAAATTCCTGATGCTCCAATCCTGCCTTGGTCTTTGCGGTGACCAGTGCCCATCCTGAAGATACACCGGGGGCTGCTAGCTATTTTCACCTCATTAGCATACAAAAAAGATATTTATCAGATTTCAAGGATTTTAGGAGTTATGCACCAGGAAACCAAACAAAGACTAAATATATATTTCATAAGATCACAGTTCTCTTCAACCCAGCTCTCAAACTCAAATAGCATAAAGAATAACCCAAAAAATTACATGTGAAAAATCTGGACAGAATTTCCCAGAAAGTCTGGGATGTCAGCGCTCTCTGGTAAGACCATATTTTCTGGGTTTTAAATTCCCCTTCTGGGAAGTGGGTATAATCAGGAAGGATGTTAGGGATGTTGATGAACTGGAATCCCGGGACATTTGGATGGGAAGAATGGGACCGTGGAATTTGAAACTGGGATTGCCACGGATGATCCAGGCTGCGCAGTCTGTATGCTTGTGAAGTGTGGGGTGGAAACCACACAGCCGGGACAAGCTAGTATCTACTGTCTCGGGTTCCATACAGTAAAAGCCCAGCAATAATGAAACAAAGAAGAGAGGGCTGGGGTGGGCTCAAGCAAGAAGGAAAGGGGGGGTGTGGCGAGTCATGTGCCGCCTCACCCTTTTGTTGGGAGCGCGTGCACAGAACACCAGGCACACCCGCACGCAAATGCAAGTACAAAACACATTTCAGAGTCAGATAAAAGTGACTTCATTACTCTTTCCCATTATATGAAAATTTAAAAATTGTCTATAAGTTGTTAAAAAGACTCCACCTTCACCCAGCCGGCAGCCCTGTTATACTCCAAGGGCAGAACAGGCTGGTTGCATTTTAAAATATTGAGGAGGGAGGTCAAGGTTAAAGGCGGTGACAGATCCTTTCTCATCTGGGGAGTTACACTGACTGCAGACAAGCTTTTGGGGGCCCCTGTGTACCCAGCACAAATCGAGCAGCAGCAGAGTGGGAGGCATTAGCATCTACGTAGGCAAGAATCCGGAAGGAAGAGGAGGATGGATGGTCAAGAGTCTGATGATAGATTTCGACTTGTGCAGTATTAAGTAGCTGAGCTTTAGAAGAGTAATTAAGCTTAACTCCAAGTCCTGCCCACACAGGGCCAGCCCTCCCCACCAGTCTGTCCGCCATGCAGCCTGCTCCACTAACAAGGCGATAATGAGGTGCCAACTTGGTTGCCATGACCAGAGCAAGACAAGGTTGGTTTTGTTTTTCCCAGCGAAGTCAGCTGTATTTTCTAAAATTGCATTCCAGGCTGGAGGGAGCTCTTGGTGGAGATTCCCCCTTGCCCCTGAAAGGGCACGTGGGGAAGAGCTGTCTTTCCAACCGGGAAAGCCAACCATGCGGGGTATTTGTAGGTCAGCCGTGGGAAAGAAGTCCTTTCCAGAGTATGGCCCAGGTTTTAGAAGTTTACCTGTTCAGATTTAGCATGAAATAAGAATAACCATTTTTCTGTTTTCTTCCTCACTTTTGCTTTACCTAGCAAGTTCTTATTGTCCCCACATGAATCATCACAGCAGAACACATGTTTTGAGCCAAAGACATTAGGTAGACAGGAAAAAGCACATCATCCTATTTTTTTTTAAATGCCCTAAAATTCTTGGCCTGAAATAGTTCATAACCTGAAATTCAGATGTATATAATAATTACATATTTTTAATATGCATGTTTTATTGCAGAATGTTATGGGGTTACAAATGTTTCGGTTACATAAATTGCTCTGGTACCATTTGAGTCAAAGTTATAAGTGTGTCCATCACCCAGATAGCATGCATTATACCCGTTAGGTATGAGTTTACCTATCCTCCCTCCCCCTGCCACCTGCTGGATTTCCAGTGAATATTGTTTCCATGTGTGCACGTAAGTGTTGATCCGATTAGTTCTAATTTAATGGTGAGTACATGTGATGTTTGTTTTTCCAGTCTTGTGATACTTCACTTAGAAGAATGGTCTCTAGTTCCATCTAGGTTAATACAAGAGGTATTATATTAAGTCACCGCTTTTTTGTGTGTGGCTAAGTAGAACTCCATGATATACATATACCACATTTTCTTAATCCACTCATGTATTGATGGGCACTTGGGTTCTTTCTACTTCTTTGCAGAAACATTTGACTGCAGGTGTCCTTTTTTTAGAATGTCTTTTTTCCTGTGGGTAAATACCCAGTAGTGGGATTGCTTGATCAAATGGTACTTCTACTTGTAGTTCTTTGAAGTATTTCCATGCTACTTTCCACAGAGGTTGTACTAGTTTGCAGTCCCACCAACAGTGTATGAGTGTTCCTGTCTCTCCATATCCATGCCAGCATTTGTTGTTTTGAGCCCAAAATGGGGGTACATGATCTGACACACATGGGGCCTGAAACTGATGTGCCCCCTCTATCTTCCCGCCACTTGACTTGTCATTGTTACATCACTTAGCACATCCTGCCTTGTGTTAAAAACAATTGCTTGCATGCCTTTCTACTCCATAGACATAAGCTCCACAAGAGAAGGAAGCATGTCTTGGAGATTCTTGTATTTCCCCAGCACACTGCCTTGCACTTGGTGGGCACTCAGTTCATGCTGTGAACAGAATGAAGGAGGAAAATGATGAGTGTGGCTCATCAGAACCAGATAGGAAGAAGAGACGAGACCAGACGAGGAAGAGGAGCCAAGACTGGACCAGACCAGATGGGCAAGAGGAGACTAGACCAGATGAGGAAGAGGAGATGAGACCGGACAAAGAAGAGGAGACCAGATCAGACAAGACCAGACCGGACCCAAGCCCCTAATTAACACAGAGAGAAAACAACATGCCCAAAGCCACACAGCTGGGTGGTGGTAAAAACCTTAGTGAGAACCCAGATCATCCAACCTAGCCTCCAGTGGCCAAGAGAACATCCTTGCCTCCAAAACCGTGACCAAGCCCCGGAACCATCTGTCTCATCACCAAATGATCGTGTCCACCCAGATTTATTTGTAGTTCTCCCCTCTATTCAAAGAGATCCAGTAGTCCCCCCCTTATCCTCAGGGGACATGTTCCAAGATCCTTAGTGGATACCTGAAACTAAGGATAGTGCTGAACCCTATCTGTACTATGGTTTTTCCTATGCATACATACCTATGATACCGTTTAACTTATAAATTAGGCACAGTAAGAGATTAACAACAATAACTAATAATAAGGCTGGGCATGGTGGCTCACACCTGTAATCCTAGCACTTTGGGAGGCTGAGGCGGGAAGACCATTTGAAGCCAGGAGTTCGAGACCAGCCTGAGCAACAGTGAGACCCCCATCTCTACAAAAACAGAAAAATTAGCCCAGCGTGTCGATGTGTACCTGCCTGCAGTCTCCCAGCAACAGTTCAGCACTAT